CATTAAACAGGGATTGTTGTGTCAGTGTGAAGAGCTACATTGAACAGGGATTGTTGTGTCAGTGTGAAGAGCTACATTAAACAGGGATTGTTGTGTCAGTGTGAAGAGCTACATTAAACAGGGATTGTTGTGTCAGTGTGAAGAGCTACATTGAACAGGGATTGTTGTGTCAGTGTGAAGAGCTACATTAAACAGGGATTGTTGTGTCAGTGTGAAGAGCTACATTGAACAGGGATTGTTGTGTCAGTGTGAAGAGCTACATTAAACAGGGATTGTTGTGTCAGTGTGAAGAGCTACATTAAACAGGGATTGTTGTGTCAGTGTGAAGAGCTACATTGAACAGGGATTGTTGTGTCAGTTTGAGGAGCTACATTAAACAGGGATTGTTGTGTCAGTGTGAGGAGCTACATTAAACAGGGATTGTTGTGTCAGTGTGAAGAGCTACATTAAACAGGGATTGTTGTGTCAGTGTGAAGAGCTATATTAAACAGGGATTGTTGTGTCAGTGTGAGGAGCTACATTAAACAGGGATTGTTGTGTCAGTGTGAAGAGCTACATTGAACAGGGATTATTGTGTCAGTGTGAAGAGCTACATTAAACAGGGATTGTTGTGTCAGTGTGAAGAGCTACATTAAACAGGGATTGTTGTGTCAGTGTGAAGAGCTACATTGAACAGGGATTGTTGTGTTAGTGTGAAGAGCTACATTAAACAGGGATTGTTGTGTCAGTGTGAGGAGCTACATTAAACAGGGATTGTTGTGTCAGTGTGAAGAGCTACATTGAACAGGGATTGTTGTGTCAGTGTGAGGAGCTACATTAAACAGGGATTGTTGTGTCAGTGTGAAGAGCTACATTAAACAGGGATTGTTGTGTCAGTGTGAGGAGCTACATTGAACATGGATTGTTGTGTCAGTGTGAAGAGCTACATTAAACAGGGATTGTTGTGTCAGTGTGAAGAGCTACATTGAACAGGGATTGTTGTGTCAGTGTGAAGAGCTACATTAATCAGGGATTGTTGTGTCATTGTGAAGAGCTACATTAAACAGGGATTGTTGTGTCAGTGTGAAGAGCTACATTGAACAGGGATTGTTTTGTCAGTGTGAGGAGCTACATTAAACAGGGATTGTTGTGTCAGTGTGAAGAGCTACATTAAACAGGGATTGTTGTGTCAGTGTGATGGGCTACCGCCGTGGAATTGCATGAGCTTTATTTACGGACATTACGGTTAAACAAAAATGTTTTTATGAGCAACTGATAGCTAAACAAACAGTGTGTGCTGTTCACATTACAAAGCTACGTTTGTGTGGATTATTCTTCCAACCGCCTGCGTGGGCTAGAGGTGAAGCGTTCGCCCGGAGAGCGAAATGTCCGGGGTTCGATCCCAATATCAAAAGACGTTAAACGATGGTACGTGTTGTTAGTCTGCCTGGTGCTTGGCATTAAGGGGCAGAACACACACGCATGCACGCACGCACGCACGCACGCATGCACGTCGCTATGTAAGTACAATAATCTTGGACGCGACGTTAAACCAAAAAATCACCTCACCTCATGCTCCCAACAAATACGCAAACATTCTCGACCTTAAAGTCGAGGAGATGTCTTCAGAATAAGTCTATCTTTATTGAACATTTTATGAAGCACAATTACTTTTTGTCGTAAGTAAGCATAACTTTCCCTATTGTCCAGCCATGGTCGTCCGTCCACACGGCCATGTTTTCTGCAGCGATGGCGCTACGCCCACCTCCGCGAAGCCAACTAGTTTAAGTTTAGTTGTGGGTACAGAAGGTGCGTCCCAGGTGAGGTACAACTGCACCACCTGCCGTCATCAATATACACCTGCACCACCTGACGGCATCAGTACACACCCGCACGAGCTGCTAGCATTAATACACACCTGCACCAGCTGCTAGCATCAATATACACCTGCACCACCTGCTAGCATCAATATACACCTGCACCACCTGCTAGCATCAATATACACTTTCACCACCTGCCGTCATCAATATACACCTGCACCACCTGCTAGCATCAATATACACCTGCACCACCTGCTAGCAACAATATACACCTGCACCATCTGCTAGCATCAATATACACCTGCACCACCTGCTAGCATCAATATACACCTGCACCACCTGCTAGCATCAATATACACCTGCCCTACCTGCTAGCATCAATACACACCTGCACCACCTGCTAGCATCAATATACACCTGCACCACCTGCTAGCATCAATATACACCTGCACCACCTGCTAGTATCAATATACACCTGCACCACCTGCTAGCATCAATATACACCTGCACCACCTGCCGTCATTAATACACACCTGCACCACCTGCTAGTATCAATATACACCTGCACCACCTGCCTGCATCAATACACACCTGCATCACCTGCTAGCATCAATATGCACCTGCACCACCTGTTAGCATCAATATACACTTTCACCACCTGCTAGCATCAATACACATCTGCACCACCTGCTAGCATCAATACACACCTGCACCACCTGCTAGCATCAATATACACCTGCACAACCTGCTAGCATCAATATACACCTGCACCACCTGTTAGCATCAATACACACCTGCACCACCTGTTAGCATCAATATACACCTGCACCACCTGCTAGCATCAATACACACCTGCACCACCTGCTAGTATCAATACACACCTGCACCACCTGCTAGCATCAATATACACCTGTACCACCTGCTAGCAACAATATACACCTGCACCACCTGCTAGCATTAATACACACCTGCACCACCTGCCGTCATTAATACACACCTGCACCACCTGCTAGTATCAATATACACCTGCACCACCTGCCGTCATTAATACACACCTGCACCACCTGCTAGCATCAATATGCACCTGCACCACCTGCCTGTATTAATACACACCTGCTCCACCTGCTAGCATCAATATACACCTGCACCACCTGCCTGCAGTAATACACACCTGTACCACTTAACGGCATCAATATACACCTGCACCACCTGCCTGCATTAATACACATCTGTACCACCTAATGGCATCAATATACTCCTGCACTACCTGCCTGCATTAATACACACCAGTACCACTTAACGGCATTAATTCACACCTTCAACACCTGCCGGTATTAATATACACCTTCCCCATCTGACGGCATCAATATACACCTGCACCACCTAACGGCATCAATATACTCCTGCACCACCTGCCTGCATTAATACACACCTGTACCACTTAATGGCATTAATACACACCTGCAACACCTGCCGGTATTAATATACACCTTACCCATCTAACGGCATCAATATACACATGCACCACCTAACGGCATCAATATACACCTGCACCACCTAACGGCATCCTTATACACATGTCATGCATGAACAACGCGGGTCATACATAAGTGGAGTAAGAGTGAACACAGTTTTATTTGCGCACAGTGTTGAAAGTGCTAGCCACTTATCCACTTATCTAATTATTACTATATTGTGCCTGGGGGTTTACTGTGCTTCATATATATATGTATATATCTGTAGTCATACACACTTGCTGTCATACATCCCTGCCACAATACATACCTGTCGGAAAAAACACTTGCTGTCATTGAAAATAGATGTGTTGCACACAACGTGTTGCCGACAAAGAGATAAATCCTACAAATGTACCAACAAATCCATATCACAAAGATTAATCACAATCCTCAAAGCAATCAAGGAATGGTTAAACAAATCAAAAGATGTTATTGAAGTTTTGCAGTCTCAACAAAGAACGTTTCAATTGAGTTAATTTGATTTTTTCAACTTTGTACACCACATGAAGAACAGAACGACATATTTCATTCCTTGATCCATGGGTATTTGTCACTAAACGTGGTGACCACAGATATAGTTACATCCCTATATTCTATTTGTTTAGGGGTTTGGGGGGTTTTTTTACGCCACACTCAGCAATATCCCAGCTATATGACGGCGGTCTGTAAATAATTGAGTCTGAACCAGACAATCCAGTGATTGACATCATGAGCATCGGTCTACCCAATTGGGATACAGTTTAGTCAAAATGAAAGCAAATGTCATCTTAAGTAAATGAAATAAATATGTGAAATGCTGGACTCCTTAATAGATAGTATCTATGGGAATAGGACATAGACTAGACAAGTAAGGCATCCTCATTGTGCCTCCTTTCCCATCTGCCTTGCTGTGCGTATGAATCGGAATTTCCGCTCGGATTAATCAGAAGTGTAGAAGCTTCAGGTGTATCGATGAGCTAATATATCGTCGAGTACCCTGTTTTCGAACGACACCAATTTTCGAACAGCCATATTGATAGTGATTTGTCGCATTATAACGAGAGGTGTGACGTCATCAAGGAAGCCGCTTTGAGAGTTCCCCTGACTGGCCTGTCAACATTGGGTTCGTGTGCAGTACTTGGGTTCGTGTGCAGTACTTGGGTTCGTGTGCAGTACTTGTACACCTGTCAGAACAGTCCGTCGTCATTCAGAATGTTCTTGCCCGTGACATGATGAAAAAGAATAGTGAAATCTGTAATTTGACAAGTATTCCTATTTTTTTATGAATAGGTTTTAAACTACCAATCCCTGTTTAAGTTTAAAAGCCGACCTGTATGAATTATGTTGAGAACTGTGCGCTAAAACATGGTACATTCGTGGAAACACTGCTATAGTACCCAACTTATCAAGCGTTCGAAAATAGGTGACGTCACTTGAGTGCCTTTTCTCGAGGACTTTCTTTTCTTTCGGGAGTAGCTGAATTGTATTGTTGAAGACGTCACCTACTGTTATGAAGCAGAATTTAATTTTTGATTCACACATCCCCCGAAATATCAGCAATGCCATCTTAACTGTTCGACAACAGGGTACATCAATAAATGTCAATACTGGGGGCATTCCTTCCTCTGATTCATCCAGCACGAAGTTTATGCAGCGGTTGGGTGTATGGATTTCAGAAATGATAAAGACTTCAATTTTTCACACACAAATTGTTTATTTATCTGCAACACTTACTCTTTTCTATTGACATAGAAGCTGAAAGAGTGGTTCACGATCCTTCTTGTGGAAGGAAATGATGAATGTATCAGTATCATGTATCATCGGGGTGTATCAGGAGCATGTATCAGTAGGTGTATCAGGAACATGTATCAGTAGGTGTATCAGTAGCGTGTACCAGAACCGTGTATCAGTAGTGTGGATCAGTAGCATGTGTAAGTAGCGTGTATCAGTAGCATGCATAAGTAGTATGTATCAGTAGTGTGTATCAGCGGTGTGTATCAGTAGCGTGTATAAGTAGCATGCATAAGTAGTGTGTATCAGTAGCGTGTATCAGTAGTGTGTATCAGTAGCATGTATAAGAAGCATGTATAAGTAGTGTGTATCAGTAGCATGTATCAGTAGTGTGTATCAGTAGTGTGTATCAGTAGTGTGTATCAGTAGCATGTATCAGTAGTGTGTATCAGTAGTGTGTATCAGTAGGGTGTATCAGTAGCGTGTACCAGTAGCGTGTATCAGTAGCATGTATCAGTAGGATGTATCAGTAGTGTGTATCAGTAGGGTGTATCAGTAGCATGTATCACTGAAGGGTTTAGTATAATGTATCAGAGCATGTGTCAGTTGTCTGCAGCATTAGCATGTACCAGTAGCATGTACCAGTAGCAAGTATCAATAGCGTCCGAGGGCTTTCACTCCAGTGATGTGAACAGTCTGGTGAAGGACTTCTGAGCCTACTGACCGGGTCTGGTTCGGCTGTTGGCCACCGACATACACCTCCAGAGTCCCTGGGGATGACAGAGGGAATATTTGTCACACCAAATGACCTAGAGGAAACATATATAATATACTGAAACAGAACCCAGTGAAGGCCAGAGACCCCTTGAGAGTGCTCACTCACCTTCACCTATGACCCAGCCAGAGACCCCGTGAGAGTGCTCACTCACCTTCCCCTATGACCCAGCCAGAGACCCCGTGAGGGTGCTCACTCACCTTCACCTACGACCCAGCCAGAGACCCCGTGAGGGTGCTCACTCACCTCCACCTATGACCCAGCCAGAGACCCCGTGAGGGTGCTCACTCACCTCCACCTATGACCCAGCCAGAGACCCCCTGAGGGTGCTCACTCACCTCCACATATGACCCAGCCAGAGACCCCGTGAGGGTGCTCACTCACCTTCACCTACGACCCAGCCAGAGACCCCGTGAGGGTGCTCACTCACCTTGACATATGACCCAGCCAGAGACCCCGTGAGGGTGCTCACTCACCTCCACCTATGACCCAGCCAGAGACCCCGTGAGGGTGCTCACTCACCTCCACCTATGACCCAGCCAGAGACCCCCTGAGGGTGCTCACTCACCTCCACCTATGACCCAGCCAGAGACCCCGTGAGGGTGCTCACTCACCTCCACCTATGACCCAGCCAGAGACCCCCTGAGGGTGCTCACTCACCTCCACATATGACCCAGCCAGAGATCCCGTGAGGGTGCTCACTCACCTCCACCTATGACCCAGCCAGAGACCCCGTGAGGGTGCTCACTCACCTTCCCCTATGACCCAGCCAGAGACCCCGTGAGGGTGCTCACTCACCTCCACCTATGACCCAGCCAGAGACCCCGTGAGGGTGCTCACTCACCTCCACCTATGACCCAGCCAGAGACCCCGTGAGGGTGCTCACTCACCACCACCTATGACCCAGCCAGAGACCCCGTGAGGGTGCTCACTCACCTTCACCTATGACCCAGCCAGAGACCCGTGAGGGTGCTCACTCACCTTCACCTATGACCCAGCCAGAGACCCCGTGAGGGTGCTCACTCACCTTCACCTATGACCCAGCCAGAGACCCGTGAGGGTGCTCACTCACCTTCACCTATGACCCAGCCAGAGACCCCGTGAGGGTGCTCACTCACCTCCACCTATGACCCAGCCAGAGACCCCCTGAGGGTGCTCACTAACCTCCACATATGACCCAGCCAGAGACCCCGTGAGGGTGCTCACTCACCTCCACCTATGACCCAGCCAGAGACCCCCTGAGGGTGCTCACTCACCTCCACCTATGACCCAGCCAGAGACCCCCTGAGGGTGCTCACTCACCTCCACATATGACCCAGCCAGAGACCCCGTGAGGGTGCTCACTCACCTCCACCTATGACCCAGCCAGAGACCCCGTGAGGGTGCTCACTCACCTTCACCTATGACCCAGCCAGAGACCCCGTGAGGGTGCTCACTCACCTCCACCTATGACCCAGCCAGAGACCCGTGAGGGTGCTCACTCACCTTCACCTATGACCCAGCCTCTCTGCCCCTGCCACAGCGCCATGTTGTCGGAGGCAATGGTCAAGTTGACCTGCATATTGGTGCCAGAGGCCAAAGTCACTCGGTCAAATCCCGTCAGCTGCAGCCTCGGTGTCGGTACTGATGCTGTTGTCCACGCAATATACACTTGAACCACCTTGAGTAACAGGGTATATCATCAATGGTAAGTTCATACTATGGTCCACTATTTTGTTCATTATTCATCCACTACATATGCATACGTCGCTGGGAAACTTTAGGATTAGCAAGGGAGTTCATATAAATGTGACATGCCAGTACTGTTATGATCCTGCAGGCCGTTATGTACTCAGATAGACAATAAATGATATCAACACAAACAAAACCTGTTACCTCGTCAGCATCATACGGTCCGAGATTTTCCACAGTGACCTTGACCCAGCCATCTTGACCTGCCTGGACTGTGTCCTTGACCTCCATGTCTGTGTACCGGAACCTTGAGTAGGACAGTCCGTAGCCGAAAGGGAAGAGGATGTTGGTGTTGGTGTAGCGGTAGGTGCGGCCGTGCGTGGCGTAGTCCGTCATTGCCGGGAACTAGCGGACACAACACAGAATAAGGAAAAGGACGATGAACAACCGATGTCCAACTTATCTGATTATCTACCATTGCAGACACTGAACTTTCATCAGTTAATATCTGAATTATTTTTTTAGTTCATCATGGATATTCGCCATTGCTTATTTCTTCGTTTTACCTTCCATCGGGTAAAATTTTGTACAATAAATGGCCAGGTGTTTGGTAGTCTCCCCGCAGGTACCGCCCCTGGGCCGTCATTGGCCAGGACTCTTCTAAGCGCCTCCCCCGTGGCCTGGGCGGGGTAGAACACTTCCAGGATGGCCTTGATACGGGATTGGTCCATCGCCCACGTCATGTTCAGGGGCCCGGCGTTGAATAACAGGACGACAACAGGAGCAGAAGCACCTGCAGAATATCTTGTAATTTATCAAGTATAGTAATTTGAATGTATTTTATTTTCATATAAATTGCACACGTTCTTGACACATCTACCCTGATGCTCGCGTTGTTGGCGCGACTAGGTTCTGCATTAGTTTGGCCTACTTCATCAACCTTCAAGTTCGAGTGATAACAATCTGTAAAGAAGCTTTTAACAACTTAATCACTTGAAACTATCATGAGACTTGTTACATACTTTTGTACACTGCGTCTGCGAGTAGATCGAACTGGCGATAAGGTAGTTGAAGATCCGGCCTGTCGTTGCCTTCAGATTCCAGGTCGCTACCTGCAACAAACAATCGCCGACAAATAAGGATAAGACTTCAAACCCATGTCTGCCTTTGACATTCGCCAGTCTCCCGGACATAGATGTTAGATGTTGGGAGTCAATATTCCCAACAGTAAAGGTCTGCCTCTGACTTGTGTTTCTTGTACATCTGCCAATATTTGGCATTTTGAGGTAAAGTTCAACATGGAAAGGACCACACATACTCTTCCCGTAAAAACAGCAACAAGGGTTATCTCCCCTGGTGACCAGTGTACATGGAGCACTTTTCAACCGAAACAAAACTTAAAAACCCACCCAATCCCAGCGTGACAAAGACGATGTCGGCGCCGGCCACCGCCCAGGCGACGCCGCTGCTGTTGTAGTTCATGCAGGCGGTGGAGCTGCAACCTTCTACCGCCCGAGTGTGGGTCGCAAGGTCAGCCAGTCCCGTGACAGTCAGTGACATCCAGCTGGGGTCTGTGTCCGGAGCGTAGCCCCCCATCGTAGCCTTGCCTTGGAACACCATCGGACCAACAGCCTGCACGGAACACAGTCGCACTCAATACTGACCCGATGGGTTCCATAACGACTTGATAGGTCAATGTGCCCGCCAACACGGTATCCCGTAATTATAGGTCAATGTGCCCGTCACCACGATGTCCCGTAATTATAGGTCAATGTGCCCGCCACCACGATATCCCGTAATTATAGGTCAATGTGCCCGCCACCACGATGTCCCGTAATTATAGGTCAATGTGCCCGCCACCACGATGTCCCGTAATTATAGGTCAATGTGCCCGCCACCACGATGTCCCGTAATTATAGGTCAATGTGCCCGCCACCACGATATCCCGTAATTATAGGTCAATGTGCCCGCCACCACGATGTCCCGTAATTATAGGTCAATGTGCCCGCCACCACGATGTCCCGTAATTATAGGTCAATGTGCCCGCCACCACGATGTCCCGTAATTATAGGTCAATGTGCCCGCCACCACGATATCCCGTAATTATAGGTCAATGTTCCCGTCACCACGATATCCCGTAATTATAGGTCAATGTTCCCGCCACCACGATGTCCCATAATTATAGGTCAATGTGCCCGCCACCACGATGTCCCGTAATTATAGGTCAATGTGCCCGCCACCACGATGTCCCGTAATTATAGGTCAATGCCCCCTACAGACCCTGTATCAGTAGTGATATGTGCCCCTGCATATTCGGTGACAATAGATGTATGCGCGCCCGAGGGTTCGGTGATAATATGTTTATGTGTACCACTGCGTTTGGAAATCTTGATAATACTTCGTTTCACAATATTTGTGACGTGAATATAAGTTCTTGTATATGTACCGCTAGTGTGTTGTATTTCTTCTTCAGTGGCAAGAAACTTTTCTCATTCTTCAACAAGACAAATGACTTCATGGCTGCTTCTATTGCAAGAGCTCTGTGGTCACGTGACTCTATCACCGACAGTTTGAGTTTTGCGTATGGGTTAATTTCCGGTGGGTCAAACTCTCCGAGCCTCATTCTTGTATAGAAGAGCGGCTTGACCCGCTCCCTGACCAGGTCCTCGCTCAGTTTGCCTTGCTGGACTGCTTGGACTGTAACACACATTGATGTACTCACCAAATACTCACCAAACACGTGGACGATGGGGGAGTCAAAGATATGTCTTACTCGTTATGGGGCAACTAGGCGTCATCAAATCAGTAACACGCTGTTTCAATATAATTCGAAGATTGAGTATTTGATGGAGCTAGGCTAATCTGAATGTTTATGAAGGATGGACCTGATTCGATACTCTTCAAGCTTTAAATGTAAGAATAGACTAGAAACACAGCTCTCCCATGCAATACGAATGCGTGAATCAAGGCCAGGCTATGGTCCGTGTTATTTGAAAGTACGATACCAACAAGATTCATCTCATAACTGAGTATTTTGCAGATGTAATCATTTGTTTTTCCATTTTAATATTGTTATCATTTACTCATGGACATCAATGCTGGATTCTGTTCAGTGCGGTCAGATATCTCCAAGTTGAGGCCTGCCGCGACACAAGAGGCCGCAGTGTCAACACTGCTGTTGGTGAAGTTGTGAGCCGTCATCACCTGCTCTGTCGCCCCCTGATCGCTGATGACGTAGCCAGTAAAGCCCCATTCTTTCCGCAGTATGTCCGTCAGGAGGCGCTTGTTGGCACACGATGGTACACCGTTGATGCTACAACAAGCAGGGGGACGCTTAAAGCAGGGGGACACTTCACAGGAATCAGGGTGACACTTGATGTTGTAGGTCCTCGCCTTGACGCATGCTCTGAAGGCACATACCTGTTGTAGCTACACATTGTGTTGTAGGTCCCCGCCTTGACGCATGCTCTGAAGGCACATACCTGTTGTAGCTACACATGATGTTGTAGGTCCCCGCCTTGACGCATGCTCTGAAGGCACATACCTGTTGTAGCTACACATGATGTTGTAGGTCCCCGCCTTGACGCATGCTCTGAAGGCGGGCAGGAATGTGGTTCTCCAGTCCCGCTCTGACACCTGCACACGTGACAAAGTTTTCATTGCCCAGATTACTATCAGTAAATATGGGGCATCTTAGTCAGAAAAATGCTTAAACACAAACAAAGATCTCTTTTACAGCTTTATTATATGAAATCATGACAATTTTTCAGCATTGCAAGTAGACATTTCATGACATCATGACACTACACTGGAGCTAACACTACATTGCATCTTGACACCAAACCGGAGTGAGTGAGTATGGTTTTACGCCGCTTTTAGCAATATTCCAGCAATATCACGGCGAAGCATACCAGAAATGGGCTTCACACATTGTACCCATGTTCGGAATCGAACCCGGGTATTCGGCATGACGAGCGAACGCTTTAACCACTAGGCTACCCGGCCGCCCCGACACTACACTGGAGCATGACAACTACACTGGAGCATGACAACTACACAAGAGCATGACAACTACACAAGAGCATGACAACTACACAAGAGCATGGCAACTACACAAGAGCATGACAACTACACAAGAGCATGACAACTACACAAGAGCATGACAACTATACAAGAGCATGACAACTACACAAGAGCATGACAACTACACAAGAGCATGACAACTACACAAGAGCATGACAACTACACAAGAGCATGGCAACTACACAAGAGCATGACAACTACACAAGAGCATGACAACTATACAAGAGCATGACAACTACACAAGAGCATGACAACTACACAAGAGCATGACAACTACACAAGAGCATGGCAACTACACAAGAGCATGACACAAGAGCATGACAACTACACAAGAGCATGACAACTACACAAGAGCATGGCAACTACACAAGAGCATGACACAAGAGCATGACAACTACACAAGAGCATGACAACTACACAAGAGCATGACAACTACACAAGAGCATGACAACTACACAAGAGCATGGCAACTACACAAGAGCATGACAACTACACAAGAGCATGACAACTATACAAGAGCATAACACAAGAGCATGACAACTACACAAGAGCATGACAACTACACAAGAGCATGACAACTACACAAGAGCATGGCAACTACACAAGAGCATGGCAACTACACAAGAGCATGACAACTACACAAGAGCATGACAACTACACAAGAGCATGACAACTACACAAGAGCATGACAACTACACAAGAGCATGACAACTACACAAGAGCATGACAACTACACAAGAGCATGGCAACTACACAAGAGCATGGCAACTACACAAGAGCATGACAACTACACAAGAGCATGACAACTACACAAGAGCATGACAACTACATGTATATTGATCGTAATTCACCTTGGCATTGAATACATGTCGATCGATGGGGATATTTTCGGGTCCACCATAGGCATCAAAATGTTTACATCCCGCGTTAGCCCGAATGTAGCGTGGGTGGTTGCCTTGGAGACCATGAACAAACTGAGTTGCGTAGACACCCGTGAGGTAAGGACACTCGCCATACGTCTCCTACACGGCATAGACATCGACTGAGTGAGGGGAACAGGGAGAGGACGAACTTCATGTTGATGGTCATATAGCTAGCATTCACATTATTCAAGTGTTCACAGTGGGAGCAGTAATAACAGTAGATGCGGATGTATCTGACAACCACATTATTCAAGTGTTCACAGTGGGGGCAGTAATAACAGTAGATGCGGATGTATCTGACAACCACATTATTCAAGTGGTCACAGTGGGGGCAGTAATAACAGTAGATGCGGATGTATCTGACAACCACATTATTCAAGTGGTCACAGTGGGGGCAGTAATAACAGTAGATGCGGATGTATCTGACAACCACATTATTCAAGTGGTCACAGTGGGAGCAGTAATAACAGTAGATGCGGATGTAGCTGACAACCACATTATTCAAGTGTTCACAGTGGGAGCAGTAATAACAGTAGATGCGGATGTATCTGACAACCACATTATTCAAGTGTTCACAGTGGGAGCAGTAATAACAGTAGATGCGGATGTATCTGACAACCACATTATTCAAGTGTTCACAGTGGGGGCAGTAATAACAGTAGATGCGGATGTATCTGACAACCACATTATTCAAGTGGTCACAGTGGGAGCAGTAATAACAGTAGATGCGGATGTATCTGACAACCACATTATTCAAGTGGTCACAGTGGGAGCAGTAATAACAGTAGATGCGGATGTATCTGACAACCACATTATTCAAGTGTTCACAGTGGGAACAGTAAAATAGCCACAACGAACCCCCCTCCCAAACTAAATTTCACAACCAGTAAAAATATTAATTAAAAACCAGCATCAAATTTCAAAATTTCAAAATTCTTATTCAAAATTGTGAACCCACCTTCATAAAATCCCTTGAAACTAAACTCATCTTCAAATGCCACGGTATTTCCAATTTGACCCATTTAGATAAAATAAATTCTAGAATCCACAGGGGCATAAAAACACAAATTGTGTCTAACCTGAACAAAGCAGACATGACAATGGTAACTGCTCTCTCTGTATTACAGTCGGGGAAACTGAGCTTGCTTTGAATCACTGTCCCTCGGGTCACACGCACCAACAACTCCTTCGGCAATTTCTTCCTATACACTATAAAAATAATCTCCCATCCAATTCGGCCACTACAACCCACCGGCATCATTGTCAAGGTCCACGCACGCACTTCACCACCAAAACATAGTCACTCACAGCCGCCCTACTACTTTATTATTTTAACCCTGTTTTCTCTATTTTATGAGAATTATATCATAAACGTTAGCTTAACTTTATTCGTCCTCTCCACATGATGTACATTCAAACATTTATTAACTGTTGGTTAACTTTCCGTCCCACTTTTAGCCTTTATTCTAACCGCTATTATCTCAAGATATGGTCTATTTTTATATTTTGTATGACTTATATTTATTTACATTCAAGTTTGATTACTGCAAGATACTTTTTTTCTTTTTGATAAATTCAATTAACACAATGATTAACATTGTGGGTCCGGGTATTATTTTGTTATTATTTTAGTATCAGGATATTATTGGTATTATATTAGTATCAGGGTATTACTATACCCTTACTTTTAACGCCAGAGTTAACCTTCGCCTGACCCCGATTGCCAATTTGAGCTTCTCAGATTAACTTCTTTATTATGAGGAAACACAAAGTTTCGGAGTATATGTTTACTCCTACATCAGGTGAACGGTGTTTCCTCGCAATAAAGAAGCTGACATTCATGCTCCTCCTTAGGCATATACTGCATCCAACAACCCCGACCGACTTGTACAGACCGTACTGGAAATGTTCTTACCGGGTTCCTGCCCCACCTTGGGTCGCGGAGGATGTTGATGACGGGGCTGAGGCAGCTGATGCCCCTGTGGGTGCCGTACACGCCGTGGCGGCTGAAGTTGTTGAACTTGGCCCGCACCTCTATGCTGGTCGCCTCGGCCACACGGAAAATCAGTTTCGGACTATACAAACAAAGATGCATGATGTCAATGGCTGAAAGGGAAGAATCGGCTAACATTTGGTGGTTTTGTTGTTCTCATTATAACGAGATGCACATGTACACTTCGTTATCAATGCGTCAGGCACCAAACCCCCAGGACCAGTTGTTCTCTGTGTCATTGACCACACATTCACCAAGAGACGCTTCACTCAGAGACCATGCTTCCACGGACTATCTAATTTTACATATTCTGTATCTCCACAGATTATCTATTCAACTAGGTTATATCTCCACGGACTGTCTATTCAAGTAGATGTATATCTCCACGGACTGTCTATTTAAGTAGTTGTATATCTCCACGGACTGTCTATTTAAGTAGATGTATATCTCCACGGACTGTCTATTTAAGTAGATGTATATCTCCACGGACTGTCTATTCAAGTAGTTGTATATCTCCACGGACTGTCTATTTAAGTAGTTGTATATCTCCACGGACTGTCTATTTAAGTAGATGTATATCTCCACGGACTGTCTATTTAAGTAGGTTATATCTCCACGGACTGTCTATTTAAGTAGATGTATATCTCCACGGACTGTCTATCAAGTAGGTTATATCTCCACGGACTGTCCATTCAAGTAGGTTATATCTCCACGGACCGTCTATTTAAGTAGATGTATATCTCCACGGACTGTCTATTCAAGTAGGTTATATCTCCACGGACTGTCCATTCAAGTAGGTTATATCTCCACGGACCGTCTATTTAAGTAGATGTATATCTCCACGGACTGTCTATTCAAGTAGGTTATATCTCCACGGACCGTCTATTCAAGTAGGTTATATCTCCACGGACTGTCTATTTAAGTAGATGTATATCTCCACGAACTGTCTATTTAAGTAGATGTATATCTCCACGGACTGTCTATTTAAGTAGATGTATATCTCCACGAACTGTCTATTTAAGTAGGTTATATCTCCACGGACTGTCTATTTAAGTAGATGTATATCTCCACGGACTGTCCATTCAAGTAGGTTATATCTCCACGGACTGTCTATTTAAGTAGATGTATATCTCCACGAACTGTCTATTCAAGTAGATGTATATCTCCACGGACTGTCTATTTAAGTAGATGTATATCTCCACGAACTGTCTATTCAAGTAGATGTATATCTCCACGGACCGTCTATTAAAGTAGATGTATATCTCCACGGACCGTCTATTTAAGTAGATGTATATCTCCACGGACCGTCTATTCAAGTAGGTGTATATCTACATGGACTGTCTATTCAAGTAGATGTATATCTCCACGGACTGTCTATTTAAGTAGATGTATATCTCCACGAACTGTCTATTTAAGTAGGTTATATCTCCACGGACTGTCTATTTAAGTAGATGTATATCTCCACGGACTGTCCATTCAAGTAGGTTATATCTCCACGGACCGTCTATTCAAGTAGTTGTATATCTCCACGAACTGTCTATTCACGTAGATGTATATCTCCACGAACTGTCTATTTAAGTAGATGTATATCTCCACGGACTGTCTATTCAATAAGGTGTATATCTCCACGGACTGTCTATTCAAGTAGGTTTATATCTCCACGAACTGTCTATTCAATAAGGTGTATATCTCCACGGACTGTCTATTCAAGTAGGTGTATATCTACATGGACTGTCTTTTCAAGTAGTTGTATATATCCACGGACTGTCTATTCAAGTGGATGTATATTTCGACGGACTGTCTATTCAAGTTGACTATACGTCCACGGTTTGGTTATTCGCGCAGATTCTATATATCCAGAGACAGCAGACTCAATATGCACGATAGCTCTCTTCCTTGAACCACATGCCCTCCATGCCCAGTACCATGCCCAGTACCATGCCCCCTGCTTGCACGTGCCCCCTATTACAATATATTTAAGTCGTGGCCTTGACTTCGATTCATGTGAACGATGTTCAAAATGACCCCATCAATAATATTGCTTCACCTGAACGTATCGGACAGGTGAGTGTTAGTGGCAATGGGACCATATAAAGCTGTGTACACACGTGTGACAAGAAACGATACCTTGAGTTGAGTGAGTGAGTGAGAGAAGTTGACCTGGACAGGTGAGAATGTGTAGCATTATCATGCTCACATATACCACATGTTTGTTCTGTTGACACTCCATTCCCTATCCAAGCAGCAGACTTACTACTTAATTACTAAACTTACTGATGTTGACCATACCACGCACTGCACTTACTCGAAGGAAGCAGCCAAGCCGATTGGTTCAGGAAACGACGTCGCATTGCCGGCCTTCACGTCCCCGCGCAGACACTCTGTGTCCCAAGAGTAGGGTCCGATCCCCAACCTCGAGACGGGCGGGGTGGGTCCGTTGATGGGACTCACCCCTCCCCTCGTCATCTGCAGCACGATTTCCTCCAGGGTGAGACGACCCACCAGGTCCTCCACCCTCGCCTCCCACGACAGGGACGTGTTCCGGAACGGGAAGTCGCCATAGCTGCATGTTGACATGCAAAACACGACCGTAAATCCGGCAGTGATCGTGCTAAACATTCTAACAGAGGTGTCTTCCAACAATACTGAAGTCTAACTGGAGCCCTACTTTAGACACTAAGATAAGATATCATGGCGTTGATAGGCGTTCACCATTGTGTTGACACTTGGGTTATCTGAAAAATGTTTAGAAAATTAGAGAGGGTCAACGTGTACATGATTTGTATGTTGCTTGGCACAATATAGCAGCAATGTCACGGACACGCTCGTATGCTGCTCTCTACAACCGTTTAAACCTGGACGCGAACACCTCGAAATTTAGACTAAAAGTTGTCAAGAAAAACTAAACTACATGCTATTGCACTGCCTGACATTGCAACATCTCACAGACTAGGATCGAACGAGAGCAAACACCTACTGCCAATAATTGCGAGTCTTCATTCTTTCGATATGACAATATCGGCAATAAGCCCATAATAATAAGACAAACTTAATGTTGCGGGTATGGTATATCCATTGACCTCACCTTGGCCCAGCGCCAAACCCTGAGGGATCTTAAGAACTGTGACAGGAATGGTTATTTTAAGACAGAAAACTTGGTATTGTCGGTTCCGCGCCCGTTCCATCTGGAGGTACATCCAAAGATAAAGTGGGAACCTCTTAGAAGCAATCATCTAGTGCGCAGAACACATTATCCTGGGAGACTCGCTCCAGGGAGGGAGTGAAGTAGGGGTGTGGCCATGGCAACGATGTCCATCTCAGCCTGTTACCTGTAACACTGTTAACGTCTTACTTTGAACATCTCGGGAGTCAGAGTAAACTGCGTGACCTTGATGTTCTGTCCTTTATTGAACACTTTGACTTCATAGGATTGACAGAAACAGGGTTATCACCATGTGACCTAACACAGTATTTGCCAGTTTTCATCCAGTTTTATCTGGTTGCTTCACGAACTGTAAGCTATATGGCATTGTCTGGTGGTATTACTGTATTAGTCAAAAGCTGTTTGGTGGACTTGTACTTGAAGAAATCATTCATCAAGCAACATGCTGTGTATATTTTGTCTGATAAACCTTGATAAAAATGTTTCAATAGTATGTGTAAATATAAATTCCCCAAACTCTCCGTGGTATGATAATAAGCGGTGCAAGTGTGGAATGTTCATTTTACAAGAATCACTTCTTGATGTGATACAGGACGTTGGGGATATTCTATATACTCCCCGGCGGGGACTTCAACGCTAGGACTTTAGTAGAACCTGCCTTTATAGATAACGATATTTCAGATCGATCAAATTTTGATCATTTTTCTACATTCTTTGATGGTATTAACATGGAGCGGTTCCTTATGACAAAGTCGTAAATCGCTTCGGTTCATTGCTACAAAAAAATGTGTGCATCTCTTAATGTCGTCTTGTTTGAAGACCGCGGTGGAAATGACACTGGAAGTGGTGATTCTATATTTATTTGTACGAATGAGTCTGGTGTTGTCAATTATGTTATGTCATCCCTTCAAGTGTTTTCTTTATGTACTTGTTGGATATTGTATCTCCATCCCACTCAAGTCACTTTCTGTCAGCATGCTCACTGCTGTCACGTGACTCTGTACCGGTAGCCTCTGATGCAGAGAAAGCACGTGCAACCCGTGTTGATTACCGCTATGTTTGGGACGATTGAAAACGAGACTGCTTCAGAGCAAACCTACTCTCTGATGTGGTTATTTCCCTGTTTGACACTTTCACTGATTTAGTATTGGATGATTTAGATAATGTCGTTGACATCCTTACTGAAGCTATATGTTCTGTTTCTAGCAAACACTTTGTGTTGGTCTAAAGCTCAGAGGTCGTTTGATAAAGAGTCTGAGTTTCTTTGTTGTGTGAGAATCAGACTTGTCAATGTGTTCTAGTGATATACGAATAGAGATTCTCTGGATAGTTACATTCAAGTCGGTAATGCGTTTACTACTTATACTGTGATAGAGAGGAGAAGACAGCTGTATTCCGTTGAGTCATGAAACAGTTGTGTGAATAATATTGGTCTGAATTTAAGAGTGAGTGAGTTGGGTTTAACGCCGCTTTTAACAGTATTCCAGTTATATCACGGCGTGTCAGCTTAATGTGGGAGGAAAGATCGAAGTGATGCAGGTCCCAGACGTTTACCTCTTCGGTGAAACCTACAAGCACGGGTAAGATGCTGACAAACTTAGAAACATAATCGGGGCGAACCGGGATTCGAACCCACAATCATAGGTTTCTGGCGTGCCCAAAGGACGCAACTCTGCACAGCGAATCCCGGCGCCTTAGACGACTGGGCCACCCGTGCTCCCTCTGAATTTAAGAGACGTTCCAGATGTCTTCATCTTTACGATCTACTATATCTAAAGAGAAAGATTTCGTTTTAATCATTCTTTTGATAAAAGATATTTTCCAGATGAGTTGGCAGAAGGCTTAATTATACAACTTATAAGAACGGGAATGTAAATTCTCCAAATAACTATAGGAGAATGACTATATTAAGCATATTTGGTAAGATATAATTTTCAATTCTGAATTCTCGTTTGTCGTTTGGGGCTGATGCATATGAAAATACGTGTGGCATCGCAAGCAGGTTTTCGAAGTGGATATTCCACCGCTGATAACATGTATTTACTACAATCTAGTATTCCGCTACTTTTATAAAAAAGACGATTATTCAGCTACTTTTATAAAAAAAGACGAGGTACAATGAATGTTTTGTTCATCGATTTTTCCAAAGCATTGGATTCAGTTAATAGAACAAAAATATTGTTTCATCCCAAATGTAAAAGTGTATCCAGACTCTTTAGTCTATAGTCCGCTCATGTGTAAAATATAATAACCTTTATTCAGACTTGTTTGAATGTAACATCAGTGTTCGCCAAGGTTGTGTACTCAGCCCCTACTTATTTTCGATGTTTATTAATGAGCTGGCAGAGGAAATCAAAGCATCTTGTAGTTACGGTATCCAGTTTCACCCAGACATAGTACATTTGTTCGTTTTACTTTTCGCCGATGATGTTATTCCTATTTCTGACACTGTTGCTGGGTTACTATATATTGCTGTAACTACCAACTCACTATTAGCCTGGATAAGACAAAAGTTGTAGTTTTTAGAAAGGAGGTATTCTGGTATAGAAGTGAAGAGTGGTATTACCAAGAGAAGCTGTTAGAATATGTTTCATGTTATAAATACTTGGGGGTTTCTCTCAGTAAGATGTTGTCTTGGTTTCCACATATAGAAAATGCCAGTAAAACAGACTAAGAAGAAATTCTTCAATGTTTGGAGATCACAATATAAATTAAAGCCAATTCATTATGAACTGTTCTTTGAGATATTTGATACAAGGGTTGCACCAGTGCTACTTTATGGCGCGCACATATGGGGGCAGACATTTTAAACGATTGGAATCTGTAGAGATAACGGCATGTAAGAGGCTTTTAGGGGTAAGGAAATCTACTCCACAGCATGTTGTCGAAGGCGAATGTGCTCGCTTCCCCCTTTACATATTATTTAGCTAAATGTGTAATTATTTACTGGTTTACGTTATTAGCAATGCCAGATACCAGGTACCTTAGTAAAAATTCTAATATGTTAATTCAAAGTGCAAATCATGGTAAGATTAACTGGGCTTGCACACTTCAATCTTTGTTATATAGCTTGGCATTTGCATATGTATGGGAAGCTCAAAATGTTTCAGTAAAGAATCGTATATTTCATAATGATCCATAAGACTTAAATGTGCTTTTGAACACGAGTGGCATTTCTCATTGTCAAAAAATTCTATAACATAAATGTATTCCTTCTTTAAACCACTTCTCAATGTTGAATTATATTTGAAAGAAATTACCATTGCAAAATTTAAAATAGCTTTGTCCCAGTTCCACTGCAGTTCCCATAATCTCCGCATAGACGCGAAACGGTGTCTAAGACATGCAAGGATTTGCCAGAGGATGAATACAATTTTATACTGATTTGTTCTAACTACAATACGTTACTAGAGAGATGTGTTCCAAAAAGAATTGTTATTCATCTAACACTGTTTAAATTTAATTCGTTAATGTCTTCATCTAACTTAAAAATAATTTAAAAAATCTTGCTATATATATTTATCATGCCAGTAATCTTAGGATATAACCAAACTATGTTCTGTGTTTCCTTAACTTGTTCTGTATATAACGTTTTTCCTGTGCACAGTTGGACCAGTTGTATGCTGTGAATTTGGGCCGATGGCCTACATTCTTACGAAAAAATGCACATCACTACCGTATTTTGCAATACATTTGAATGTGTGTGATGACTGACGGTGAGTGTCCGCCCTTAACCCAGGTTATATGTCCAAACGCAAGTCGCTCAGATTGTCCCTCACGCCACTGACATCTGTTGCTGAAGGTCACTATCCCTGTTGCTGAAGGTCGTCATCCCACGTCAAAGTCGTGTGTGGACACCTCGCTCCGCAGCCAGTCTACACAAGTTCCGGTAAGTTGTCTTCATCACCTCTCCTTGTTATTTTATCTGTTCCATATCCAGGTCATCGGGTTAAACTACAAGACGATTGTCGATTGCATATAATATTCAGTCACATACCATTATTTTATTGTCGGCTACATGTAACATTCACGTACATAGCTAAAACGACGAACTGAATTTCAGTTACATGTAACACCTATTCAAGCTGGTTTGACTACAATCTGGTTGACAGGTACATGTGTTATCCATGTATGCAGTCTAAACTACAGGGTCTTTGTAAATGACATGTAACATCCATGTAAGCGGGTACAGGGTGGGGGTGAGGTTATCCATAGACCGGACTGAGTCGTACGAAATATAACATATAACAATTAAAACGTGGGTATTTTAGTAGGTTATATATTCACTACTTTCTAAAGCATTAACGAACAAGTGTGCGAAGAGCACAGTTCATTGCTTATTGAATATATGCAGAATAAAAAGCCAAAGGCAGATATTTAACTTGGAACCAGTGATTTCTAACAAAAGGTGAAGAACGCTGGCTGCTACTTGTTTACCATTCCTGCCACGAGCCAGTCTGTGGTAAGAAAGGAACCAGATGTTGGTCGCA